CTCCAGCTGCTGCAAGCGTTCAAAGGCAGAAAGTTGAGAGATGTTTAATGTCCCAGCTCAGGGGCAGCTCTGAGTCCACTCCACCACAGCACACACTGGGGGGTTTTGGGGTGCCAGGTGTCGTGTTACAGATGCCACTGGCTGTGGGAAAGGCAGGTGCAAAATTTGGTGATGTGCTCCTGCCAGGAGCACCTGAAATCCCCCAGGAAAGCTGCAGCCCAGCCCCTCGGACAGCAAATGCAGCGGTGGAGGACATGGATGTGCCCCGAGATACGCGTTGCGTCCCCAGGGCATCGCAGCCAGAATTGGGGTTTGCGCCACGGCTTGGTGATAGGGACACAACAGAAGAGAACCCACCACCCTATGCATTGAATTTGGAAGCTATAAATAAGAGCACCCCACGCTTTGGGGGACCCAGTGCTGACCCTGCACCCCGGCAAAGCTGGGTGCCTCAAAGCCCCGCCACGGTCCCCAAGTTTTCCCAGCACCTCTGCCTTCGCTGCAGCAAGCCCCCAATGAGCCCCATCTGCAGCATCCCGGCTGGCATCAAGGCAACAGGGAGATGGTGAAGTGGCAGAGGGGCCAGGAGAAAGGGAATTGGTGCTGGAGGGACTTAGCTCAGCCCTTCCTGTGGCCACAAGCCCAGCACCAAGCTACGAGTCCCCTTCACCTCTCCCTGCTACCACCATCTTCCCCCCTGAGGCCACTGTGCCATCCCCACCTCTGTCCCCGCTGTTGCAGCCCTTATTTATAGGGAAGAGGTGGGAAAGGGTTTTTCTGGAGGTGCTCCGGCCCTCCTGCTCCCCATCCCTTCTCAGCTGGCACAGCCCTGCCTGCATCACCCCAAACCAAGCACCCTCTGCCCATCCCTTTCAGTGCAATGGGAGGGGAAAGGGAGGAGGAGGAAGGCAATGAAGAACCGTCACGTAAGCTCATTGCCTGCTAACACCAAGAGTCAAAGGGCAGTGCTGCCTTCCCTCCTCGGGGCTGTAGCTGGAGAGAGCAGCCTTTTTCAGGGGTCCGGCAAGACGACCATGCTGTGGGTGCTGGAACACGTTGATGGTGCTCCATGTCCCCCCACCCCAGCCCTGTCAGTGGGGCGGTGCGTGGGGTGCACGGGGCTGGGCGAGGAGGTGAGGGGGTGAGATGCGTGCGAGTGCCCGGGTGTCTGTGTGCACGGATTCTGGCAAGAGGTCATTGAGGTTACATGATGCAGCATTTGTTCTTGTGGTTATGAGGGTCCTTAAATCGGAGTCTCTGCTTTGGTCGGTATTTTTCCAAGTACGTCAGCTGCTTGCTGTTGATGGCTCCTCTGCGCTTCCTGTGGGGACAGAGAAGGGCCAGCACAGTCAGTGGTTTGGCAGGAGAAGCCCCCCCCCACCCCGAACCCACCCATCAGGGTGCTGAACCCCCCTGCCTGGAGCAGGAAGGGATTTTGGAGGCTGCGGCGTCGTGTGTCCTCTGGGGATGGAGACAGACACTGACCCCAGCAGCTTTTCTTGCTCATCCACCCTGTGAGTCTTAGGACACGGAGAGCCAGGGAAGAAACATGTGGGGAGGCTGCCCGAAGCGGGGTGCCTGCCAAAAGCCCCCCAAGGATGCTCCCAGATGCCTCCCCAGCCTCCCGCAGCCCTGATGCAAAGGTCAGGGTGCATGGTGCTGGTCCCCCCTTTTCTTCCATGCCAAAAAGAAAGAAAAGCAACCCCAGTGCCCCCCAAAAACCCTGAGGCACGCCAGATCTCTCCGTTCCCTCGGAGAGGGGCTGCTTTCTCCCCTGACACTGAAACGCTGCTCGACTTACTGTCGGATGAACTGGATGGCATCTTCGTACTTCATCCCGCTCTCGATCAAGGCCAGCGCGACGAGGACAGGAGCGCTGAAAGGCAATGGCAGCGGCGGGCACACCCAGCCATGCGGCCCAGAAGCTGACATCCCGTCCTGGGCTGGGGGGGACGTGCCGCATTGTGGGCAATCGCCAGTGCTGGCTTTTAGTTTGTAATTTCTTGCCATTTGGCTTCAAGCGCTGCCCCGAGGAATGGCTGATTTTAGGGGTAAAGCCCCGAGGACAGAGCTGTCAGGTGTTTGCTGCTCTTCTAATGAGCATGAGGACTTTGGAAGCAAAACTGTTGGAAAAGTGGATGTAAATACATGTGCAAAACCTGACCTGCGGTGAAGGGAGCAGCAAAACACTTCAGCTCGCGAAGCACTATTTCCGTGATAAGCTCTTAGCAAAAGCAAAATCACCGTGGGGCACTGGCAGGACAGCACCGAGTAACCCGGGTCCCCCCCGGTGCCCAGGATTTGGCCATGAGAAGTGCAAGGAGGAGCTCAGGCAGCAGTCCCCCCGACCCTGTCAATGCCTATTCCCGCTAAGGTCTCCTCTGCATCCAAAAACCCTGCTCTAAGGTGGAAGGAGGAGAGCCGGCATGGTTTTCCCTTTTCCACCTTCATGGGTGGGGTGGCAGCCAGGGTGCCGGTCTCGGACTTACCGCCCCAAGCCGGCCACACAGTGCACGGCCACGCAGCAGCCGGGGTCTTCGCAGAACTTGGTCTTCAACAAGTTAAGCCAATCTTCCACTATCTTGCTGGGAGGAGGTGCTCCATCATCGAACGGCCAATCCTGCAAGGTGGGGGGCAAGGTCGGGGGAAGAGAGAAACACTGTCAGACCCTGGGGAAAAACTCAGGGCATTGCTTTTTCATAGAGTCATAGAATGCTTTGGGTTAGAAGGGGTCATCTTTAGAGGTCATCTAGCCCAAACCCCCTGCAGTGAGCAGGGACATCTTCAATCAGATCAGGTTGCTCAGAGCCCCATCCAAGCTGACCTTGAATG